GGGGGGGGGGGAGGTATTTTCCACAATTTCTGCAACACTTGTTTAGCAAGTATGTGTTTCCAAAGGGGTGGTCAAATCTTCAAAACTGTAAGAAGCATCACACTACTTCACATGAACCAATGCCAGGCACTCCATTCAGTGGTCTCCTTCCCCTTTGGGGACTATTCAAAAAGTTAGCATTTTCTTTTACAACTCACCCAGGCCTCTTCACTGATGAAAGCAGGCAAAGCCCACGCTGTGTGTCTGTCTCCTAGAGAAGATTGCATCTTTTATTTATCACTCCTTGGCTTTATTTTCACAGTGAATTCCTGGCTTAAATGCAATCAGCCAAGAAACCCTCCCTATGTGCTCTCCTGTCATTCCTCATTGCTTGCAAGCAGAATCAAGCACAGAAGGGGAAAAAAAAAACCCAAAACTCAACGCTGCCAGCCAAGCCATAAAAATTCACAAACTCTAGTTTGTTATACTGAGAACCCATAGACACCTTCAATCCGTTTCAACCGGCAGCAGGAAATAAGAAAAAAGGCACACACAAAAAAAAACACAAACAAAAAAAACTTGAAGGATTGTTAATTAGATTTTTTTAAAAAGGATGGATGGGTAGCCTCAAAAGTTGAACACCCTCTAAGACAGAAGGAAAAGGTGCCCAGACTAGAAAAGGCAACACTAGGGGATGCCTTTGGAAATAAATGATCATGCAGAAAAATCACATTTGCAGATTGCATTAGAATTCAAATTAACCAGACAGGATTAAAACAAATCTGAATTCTCTCTTGGAGCCCCTATCCAGACTCCCACCAAACCCCCAAAGATAAGAATAAAAGGAATTGACTACGGAAAAAAGAATTAAAAAGCAGAGACTGTGATGCTTCCAAGCCTCTCCCCCACGCATTAGGTACCCGGTTCACCACAGCAATCTGGGAGGGGGTAGAAAATATGCCATTTGCAATCAGGAGAAAAATCCGGGGAGGGGGAGTTTCACTATAGCATTGTTCTTTTCAGTCAGCTCAAACATCCCCCATCGCTATGGCTGAAAAGGATATCTGGCCAGAAAAAAGCACACACACACGCACACACAAACAAAAATTAAAAAAAAAAACAAAAAAACTGGGGCTCAGCCCTGGCCAGTGTGGCTCCAACTGAGTGTCATCCCATGCAGAGTGATTGTCAGNGGGGGGCAGGGAAAGCTTTTAGACTCCGTATCTGAGAAAACTCTCATGGTCTAACAGAGAAAGGAGGGCTGTACGGCTTTAAATCACAAGTCCTTCTCTTGCCTTTGTCAAATATCTTCTACTTTGCAAGCCCTGAAAAGAAATAGAGACTCTTTTGTTTGGTTTCTCCTTTTCGGAGGGTGACAGAAAACTGAAAGGGGCACAAATAAACCTGAAAATGGGAACAAAGTGCGGGGTCGTGCCCGGCTGCCAGGCGG